TAAATTATGTGTATTACTGTTCACCATAATAGAGACTTATGTGTTTGGCCTTAGCTGTGTCTCTTTCTTCAAGTGATTGTTTTAAATCAAATATGGTATGTCGTTTCCTTTTGTTTTAAGTATTTTGTTGCTTTTTATTCTCCCTCACAGTAAAGTCTAAGCTTTACAAAGGCCTCTGCCCCGCTTACTGGTCCAAACCCAATACTTCTTTTCCTGGAATGGGGACGCAAGGCCTTACTTATTATACCCTTGGTCTAGGGATCAAACTATTTCCTCCGAGCTCCTCAGATCTTCACTCTTCATTCTTTTATTCTTCAACAATTGTACTGAGGCATTGTGCCAGTACTATTTAGATGCCAGAGATATAGCGTTGAACAAAACAGACAATAAATTCTAGTCTTATGTAGCTGAAATTCTAGTGGAGAAAGATAGGAAAAAGCAATCAGCAGTTAGTGTTATTACATATGGCTTTAATATTAATATATACCAATTTTAAAAATATATTTGAAAAAATGACTTTAATATGTCAGAGGGTGACAGGAGGAAGTTTGCATTTTAGATAAGGTGGCCAAAAGGGAAGACTCACTTGGGGAAAGTGACAGCTGAGGCAAAAGACTTGGCAGAAGTAAGGAGGTGAGTTCAGGTTTAGGAATTTGGAGGAAGCTTCCAGACAGAAAGGAAAGCCCTAAGGCAAGAACCTGGCCTAATATATTTTCAGAAGAGAAAGAGGCCACTATGTCAGGAGTGTGGGGGCAGCGTGTTGTGAAACTCCTGGAGGCCCTTTTAAGGACCTTGGCTTTTAACAAAGGACTAGTTGAGAGCCACTGAAGTTTTGGACAGAGGCAGGGAAATTGACACGTTTGGACTTAAATTTTAACAGGATCACTCTGGCTACTGAACTGGAGGACTAGACTGAGTGAGGCAAGTGCAGAAGTAGGGAGTCAGTTAGAACCTCTTGTGAAATTCAGACCAAGATTTGGCTTATTTCAAGATGGTTACAAGGAGATGGCTAAAGGTTGGCAGATTCTGAAATATATTTTGAAGGAATTAGATGTAAAATGTGTGACAGAAAAAATAGTCAAGAGTGGTGCGCAGTGGCTCACATCTGTAATCCTAGCTACTCAGGATGTAAAGATTAGTGAGGATGGCAGTTCAAGCCAGCCCAGGCAAATAGTCCGTCGAGGACCCTATCTTGAAAAAACCCATCACACAAAAAAAGGTTGGTGGAGTGGCTCAAGTGTAGGCCCTGAGTTCAAACCCCAGAACTGTCAAAAAAAAAAAACTCAAGGATGGACTCTAAGCTTTTTGAAGACTAGAGTTGCCATTTAAGGAAATGAAGAAAACTGTGGGGTTAGCAGGTTTGGACAGGGGTATCAGGAATCAGAATTTTTTGGCAGTACTGGGGCTTGAACTCAAGGGTCTCACACTTGCTAGGCAGGCACCACTCCACAAGCCAGGGAAATTGGTTTTGGACATATGGACATGTAAAGTTTAGTATGTTTAGATACCTATTGGATATCCAAATGGAGACATCAATAGGGAAGCTGGATATGTGAGTCTAGAATTCAGGGGAAAGGTTGAGGTTCAAGATGGAAACCTGGACTGAAAGTATATTTACAGTCAGAAGGGTAGATAGGATCATCAAGGGGTTGATAACTTAAAGAGGCTATGGATGGAGCCCTAAAACATTCTTTTTTTGCAGTAGTGGGGTTGAACTCAAGGCCTTATGCTTACAGCAGGTGTTCTACCACTTAAGCCACTCCACTAGCCCTTTTCTGTGTGGGTTTTCAAGATAAGGGCTCATGAACTATTTGCCCAGGCTGGGTTAGAACCGCAATCCTCCTCATCTCTGCCTCCTGAGTAGCTAGAATGACAAGGTGTAAGTGCACCGTGAAGGATCCTAAAGAGCTCTTGCTGGGGCTGTAGAGTAGCTCAAGTGAAGAGTGCCTGCCTAGCAGCTCAAAACCCCAGTGCCAGGGGGGAAAAAAAAAAAAAAAGAGCTCTTTGCTTATGTAAACTTACCTATTAACATTTACTGTACTAGAAATTAAAATGGGAAATTTCAAGATATTCATTAATTCATTTAAAAATAACAGCAGCAAATCCATTTTGACAAATTATTGTTAAATAAAGGTGTTTTTTTTTCTTTCCAGTACTGGGATTGAATTCAGGCATCTTGTGCTTGCTGGGCAACATAAATAAATGTTTTTTTTAGAAGAAAAAATAACAATATTTTGGAGATGGATTTTGAGAACTATTTGCAGGCTGGCTGGAAACAAAAACACTATCTGATCTATCTGATCTTCCAGATCTCAAGCTTCCCAAGTAGCTAGGATTATGGGCATGAGCCACCAGTGCTTGACAACAGCATTTTCTAAAACTAAATAAAATTCAGGGAGAAGTGTTATTGTTTTGTAATTTTTCATATCTTTTTGTCTGGTTTAAGAAAGCCAGAGCTGGATACTGGTGGCTCGTCCCGGTAATCCTAGCTACTCAGGAGGCAGAGATCAGGAGGATTATGGCAACTACTTGCCTGGGACTTGTGACTCTATCTCGAAAATAGCCAATACAAAAAAAGGGCTGGTGGAGTGGCTTGTGTGGTAGTAGAGTGCCTGCTTAGCAAGCGTGAGTCCTGAGTTCAAACCCCAGTACTGAAAAAAAAAAGAATTGGATTCTTACGTGTGCTTCCACCTGTGAGATGTGATGCTATATCATACATTAATGTAGCCTGTGGACACACGAGAGAATGGAAAAGGCAAATTATTATGAAACTAGTTCTTACCTCATTACTCCCTGAGAAGGCCTAATCAATCTCCAGAGTACACTTTGAGAACCACTGCTCTAACATTTAGAGGTGGAGAGGTTATAGAAGTCAACAGAGGAGACTTAGAAGCTTAGTCAGGAAGGTTAGAAGAATCAGAAGAGCCTAGTGTCCTGGAGGTCCAGTGAAGAAAGTGTTTGAGAAGAATGATTAATTGCTGCTGATTATATAAGACAACTGAGGACAGAGAATGACAACTGAATTTATCAACTTGGTGGCAGTCAGGAACCTTGATAAAAGAAAGCTTGGTGGAGAGGTGAGTGCTAAAGCCTGTTTGGTGTGGGTCACAGAATAAAGTTCATTGCTTCATGTCAATGAACCCCAAACTAGGTTAATTTACCCTTATTCACTCTTCCGAATCTTCAACATTTGCTGCCCCCCCCCCTTTTTTCCTCCAATCGTTTGTTTTTTTGGTTGGGTATTTTTTGCCATAGGTTCTTGTGAACTATTTGCCCTGGCTGGTTTTGAACCATGATCCTACTGATCTCTGCCTCCTGAGTAGCTAGGATTATAGGTATGAGCCTCTGGTACCCGTTTGTTAGCATCTCTTAACTAGCCATAAGCCCACGATGCCTTGAATTACAGTGTGCATCTTCACCCACATATGCTTACTGGGCATTTCCTAGGGCATTGTGTTGGGCATTTTCTTCCAAGAGCTTGCCTTTCCTTGGAGTTGAGTGAGATCTGAGTAGAATGTAAATATGTTGAGGGCAGGTCTTTGTAGTACCTTGCTCGGTTCTCAGCATAAAGCCAACAGTGGATATTGCTATCTTGCTCTAATTCCGATTTATAGGACAATACTGAAATCAATCTTGTTCATCATCCCTTGACTCAGGGAAACATTAGGGTTTTTCTTTTTGGCAGAACTGGGGTTCAAACTCAGGGTCTCATGCTTGCAAGCCAGATGCTCTGCCACTTGAGCCACACCCCCAGCCCTTTTTGCTTTAGGTTATTATTATTATTTTTTTAAACAGTCTCACATTTTTCATCTGGGCGGCCTGGACCCAGATCCTTACACGTCTCCTGTGTAGCTGGGATAACAAGCATGCCACCAAGCTCAGTTTATTGTTTGAGATATCATGCTAACTTTTTCCCCAGGTTGGCCTCATACAGATCCTCCTGATCTCTGCCTCCTTAGAAGCTAGGATTACAGACATAACCCACCGCTCCTGGCTTTTCTTTTTCTTTTTGAGATAGGGTCTCACTATGTTGCTCAGGCAGGCCTGGAATTTGCCATCCTCCCCCTCGGCCTCCTAAGTGCTGAGATTATAGGTGTAGTCACAAACTGGCTAATATTAGGGTTTTCTATACCATGCTGATAGTGAGCTTATATGCATATATTTTTTGTAGTTTTATTTTGCATTTTGGAGTATTCACCAAGTAGAAAAAGGATGGGGAAAAATTCCCCCAATGGTCAGAAGGATAGAGATCCTCAAATTTGTGTGTATACGTGGGGAGGCGTCAATTCCAGAAGGGGACGCTGTCGTGGAGGGCCTCCTCTCCTGGATTGAGAGAGCTTTGGTTTCTCCGTCTGTTGAATACGAGAACCCGTACGTAATTTCAAGGGACGCTTCCCTGTAACTTTAAAAGAAGTTCGGAGAGTCGAATTCTAGTTCACTGACCCAGCGCTGTGCGCAACTTTTACATAAGCTTCACTTTCTTTTGTAAAGCCAGGAAATGGGCCCTAGAGTACTTTTCTGGAGGCGCAGGACTCGGGACTCTGACAGTGCCTAAAGAGCTTATCCAGGACCCCGCACAGCCGCGCCTAGTCCCTAGGGTCCTGGCCGGGGGCGGGGCCTGGCGGGCCGCGCCCCGAGACTCACCTGTGCGCTGAGCCGTGACTCACCTGCCCTCCCCCAGCCTTCCCCAGCTCGGGCTGTTCCAGGAGTCACCGCTCCTCCTCCCTCTCGCGGCGGGAGGTGGGGGGGCGTCGCTCACAGTCTGACAGCGTACCAAGGGTCTGGAATGAATTGTGGGGTGGAGGAAAGGGAAGGTCCTTTGGAGGTCCGGGCCTGGTGTTGCCAACTCTTCGCAGTGCGGTTCTCCCGGACAGCGCGGGCCGGGAAAGGCCAGGAAAGGCGGGAGAGGCAACAGCAGGAGGCGCCGGGAAGAGCAGCGCCGGAGGAGGTGCTGGGAAGGGCGGGCGGGGCGCGGGCCACGGGCGGGGGGCGGGAGCGCCGGGCGGCCCATTTCCTCCTTGGAGCCGGACGGGAGGGAGACAAAGCGGCGGCCGTCGGCTTCGCGCCTCTTGCGTTCTCCTTCGCTGCCCCGCTCGCCGCAGGTAACTCTTTGTACCTCCCTTCGCGCGGGCGCGGGCTTCCCAGCCGAGCGAGGGTCTCCTCAGGCCGGGTCACCCCAGCCGGGCCTCCGGGGGGCCGACTGGGCGTCCGGCTGGCGTCTGGGCCCGGGCGGGCGGGGCCGCGCTTCCCGGCGTTCGGGAAGTTGAGGGCCGCGGAGGCTGGGGAGAGACGCCGCAGGCCCCGCGCAGCCGCGCGTTTTCTCTCGGAAAAGTTTCTGCCGCTTTGTAAACTTCTTTCCGGGGCACCAGTGTACCTTCCTGGTGGCGCCTTGCGCCCAGTCCTGGGGCAGTTAAGTGTTAAGGGGAGCGATTGTCGGGTTCCGTGCCGCCCGTTCCCTTCCCCCTCTGTGCCACCGAAACTTCCCGGTGTACGGGACCTCACGGCGGGGGCATTCCGGCCCCAGCCTAGGTGAGAGTTGGGCGCTTCCTGTCTGGTTGGTGAGGCGCGCCACACCCGTGGACTTTTGGCGTGTGCCGTGTTTAACTTTTACTTTGAAAATTCTCAACCGCCTTGTGCTGCTGAATTAGACTAATTCTTAGTTTTCAGGAGTGGCATTAGTGGCATTTTTTTTCCTGTTTTTCCAGAGAGGGTCTCAAACTACATAGCCCAGGCTAGCCTCGAACTCACCATCCTCCTCCTTAAGCCTCCCGAGTGCTGGGTTACAGGCGCGTACTACCACGCCCTGCCTGTTGTTGACTTCTTAAAGGAGGAGTCAGCGTTTGTGAAAAACTTGTTGGAAAAATGTTAACTGAATGCCTAATCTCGGTTTGGCAGCAATGGCTACCCATTAACTTAGGCGGCTGGCTCTTGGCTCAAATTCAGGGTCGACAGACACCCTAGGATATCCTACTGCTACTGCGTCTTTGTTACTTTTTTCTTTTTTTTTTTTCCGGTACTTGGGTTTGAACCTCAGAGCCCTCACCCTGACCTATTCCACCAGCCCTTTTTTAGAGAGGTTCCCCCCACCCCGCCCCGAGAGAGGGTCTTGTGAACTATTTGCTTAGGTTGGCTTCAAACCGCAATCCTCTTGATCTCTGCCTCCTGAGGCGCTAGGATTACAGGTGTGAGCCACTGGCGCCTGGCTTTTGAGTGTGTGTGTTTTGTATAGAATTTACAATGATTTAGAAAAAAGTAAGATGTTAAGTCTTCCAGAAATTAAGACCATTCTATTTATTATGAAGAATAAAATGCTTGCATCATTGTATGTTATGATAGTTTGCATTTAACAGTTTTTTTTTTTTTTTTTTTTTTTTGGTGGTTCTGGTGTTTGAATTCAGGGCCCCACACTTGCTAGGAAGGCACTCTTACCACTTGAGCCATTCCACCAGCCCTGTTTTGTGTTGCCTATTTTCGAAATAGGGTGTCAGGAACTATTTGCCTGGGCTGGCTTGGAACCTTGATCCGCCTGATCTCTGCCTCCTGAGTAGCTAGCATTACAGGTGTGTGGCCTACTGGGTTAGCAGTGGTTTTTTCCTTAAAGACTGTACAGATGGGTGTTACTTTAAGAAATGAAATTTGCAAATCACATATTATGTTTTACAAGAGGAATGAGTGGAGGAATCATCCATAGCCTCTGCTCCATTACTTACCCCTTTTGAGTTTTTATTAAGTTAAAGAATGTTTTTGTCCTCTTTTTGAGGGCTCATAGGCTTTGCCCCTAAGGGCTCACTTCACCCAGTTGTAGTACAAGGCAGACTTCATTATATTCACTGACCAAAAACTGTGACAGTTAAACAGTTAAATCTTTTTTTTTTTTTTTGTGTTGGGGTTTGAACTCAGGGTCTACACCTTGAGGCACTCCACCATCCCTTTTTAGGGTCTTGTGTTCTGTTTGCCCTGGTTGGCTTGGAACCGTGATCCTCCTGATCTCTGTCTCCAGTGTACAGGCATAAGCCACTGGTGCCCGGCTAGTTAAATCTTTTTTATTTGGACACAGGATCTCACTGTGTATCCCAGGTTGGCCTCAGATTCTCAATCTCTTACCTTAGCTTCCTGAGTACTGGGATTTAGGCATGCACCACCACACCTGGCTGGGTCCAGTCTTACCAAATACTGAGAGAAGAAACTTGTGGTGGCATGGGGAGGGGGGTAATAAGGTTAGGGTTCTGGGATGGGGTGGCTTTTAAACTGGATAAAACATGAATTGATTTTTGTCATGTGAATGGAGAAAGTCATGAGAAGCATAAAAAGGCATATGAGTGTGGAATTGTGATATCATTCTGGTTTTCCTTTACTTTTGGCTCTCCCTCCCTCGTTCCCTCTCATACATAGACTTCTATCCTGAGTGTGTTGGTGTTCCACACCATTGATGTGGCATCACCTTCATTCCCATTAGCAATGTCTTATTCTATATAGTGATTTAGAGAAAAGGGGTGCCCTCTTCCTCCTGGTTGAGAATAACAGCCCTGTGCAGTCTTAGCCCTGCTTGTTGGGATTGCTGTGTGCTGTTGAAGATGTAAACATGAAAGACTGCATGTGTTTAGAGGCCTAGAATTTTACAGAACTTGTGTAGCTTGAGTACTCTTGAGTACTCTGCTTGGAGAAGACTACAAGCAGAATCCAGGGAAGACAAAGGCCAAGTCACAGATGGCCATGTTTGGATTTTAAAGTTGTAGGATGTTTCATGATCTGATAAGCTTTTTAAGCCTTGCTAATGCTTAGAAAAGGCTTATAGTTGTGTGCATGGACAAGCAGGCACTTGAGCTAGAAAAATGCTGAGGGTCACGGTGATAGGGGTGATGGGGAGCTGTATTTTGGAGAAATGAGACAGGACTTAATACGGATTTGATTGTAATGTGTACACTTCTTTGTAAAGTGATAAACTTTTTTTTCTTTTTTAAGTGATAAGCTGTGACTCATGATTCAGGATTCAGCCTTTTCACTTCTGGTAGCAGACTTCTTGCTAAGTTTTCTTAGCAACTTTCATTATGCTGTACTTTATTGATGATTCTGTTTGCCTCCTTTCTTGAGAGCTTCTTGAAGGCAGGGACTGATAGCAGATAGCTTTTTATTTTTGGTGGTACTGGGGTTTGAAATCAGGGCCTCATGCTTTTTAGACAGGCACTCTTACTGCTTGAGCCACTCTGCCAGGCCCCCTTCTCCCCCCTCAAGGTAGGGTCTTGTGAACTGTTTGCCTGTGGCTTGCTTGGCAGTCCTCCTGATCTCTGCCTCCTGAGGAGCTAGGATTACAGGCAGGAGCCATTGGTGCCTGGCAGGGACTGATAGCTTTAGCAGTTGGCCCAGTACCTGGCAAAGAGGGAAAATTAAATGATTATTAGGTAAAAGAGAAAAAATCTTTTTTTTTTTTCTGGAATCTGGTTTGTGAATGATATAACCACAGGTGAGGCAACAGATTATGAGGGCTCAAATATCAAATTACTGTTTTGGGGGACTTGAAAAACCATTTATCTTTCTCTTCCTTTTCACCCAGATTTCTTCAGGAATGAAATTTTCTCCCTTATCGTCTCCAATTTACATATCTTTCTTTTTTTCTGTTTTTTTGCTTCCATTCTAGTTTAGATTATCTTCTCTTTTTAGTGGTACTGGGGTTTGAACTGAGGGCCTGATGCGATGCTTGGAAGGCAGGCGTTCTACCACTTGAGCCATGCCCCCTGCTTTGGATTATCTTCTTTGAACTATGGGAGCTATGCATAGTTCTCTGGATAACTTGTTCTGTTGCTTGCTTTTGTAATTTTTTTTTTTTGTGAGATGGAGTCTTTTTATGTAGTCCAGGCTGGCCTCAAACTTGGTGATCCTCCTTGTTCAGCCTCCTGAATGTTGGGATTACAGCCATGTACTACCATACCTGGCTTTGTCCTGCACTTTTGTACATTTTTTTCCCTGTGCTTTCCTTTCTGGACAATGCTGCTTTAGTTTTAATCATCTGACAAACTCACTCTATTTTTGGTGATACTGTTAACATTCCCACCCCTACTGGGATTTGTATACTTTTTTTTTCTTTAATTTGGCAGTACTGGGACCCATTGGGTTTGAACTCAGGGCCTCATATTTACAAAATATGCACTCTGCCACTTGAGCTTCACCTCCATTTTGCTCTGGTTATTTTGGAGACAGGAACTCATGAACTATTTGCCTGGTCTCATCCTCCCAAGTAACTAGGATTACAGGTATGAGTCACTGCCATCTGGCTGGTACTGGGGTTTTGAACTCATGCTTGCTAAGCAGGGACTCTATGACTTGAGCCGTGCCCCAGCCCTTTTTTGCTTATTTTTCAGATGGTGTCTCCTGTTTTTGCCTGTGCTGGCCTTGGACCACAGTCCTCTTATCTATACCCTCTTCATACTGGGACCAGTGAGCCATTGGCATTTGGCTGATTGCATCTTTTATACTAGTAATTTGGTAAATATTTTTGTAGGTGACTTCCAGCCATGTCTCTTGAAAGTGAAGATCTAGTTATCTTCAATAAATCTTTGTAACAGAAAAATGCTTAAATCATGACTACTTGTTTAGTGAATTAATTCGAAGTGAATGTTATTCATATTCACCACCTATACCAAGAAACAGCAAATTGTCAGCATTCCGAAAATACCCACTGTCTTTTGCATTTGTTACTTACCCTTCTGCTGCTCTCCTTACCTCTTTTATGAAATGGGGGGGGGGTCCTCACTATTACTGGCCAGGGTGGTCACGATTTCCTGAGCTCTCAGCCTCTTCAGTAGTTGGGACTACAGGTGTGCTCCACAGTGCCTGATCTGTCTTTAGTTTTTTATTTCAGGATGTAGAACATTATGATTGCTGAATAATGTTTACGAAAGTAAGTTGTACTTCTATCTTTTCTACCATCTAGTCTTTTAACATATAAGCAAAGTCTCACTCTTGTTTGAGAAACTATTATATGATTCGTTCTGCTTAGAGGTTAGGTTTAGTTAGATTTTTACATTGACATTCAAGGCTTTCTATAATCTGGCTTTTACTTTTTTTTTTTTGCTGGGACTGGGGTTTGAACTCAGGGCTTTACAAT